GCTTTCTCTCCCCACTCTTAGGACTGTTATTATTGAAAAAGAAAGAAAAAAAAAGATATGCTGTTTTCACACCCCTTCTAACTTGTCCCCTGCACACAGCAGCTGAGGCGTAAGATGACTTGTTGAGGACCTGACAAACTGTGAAGTCCTATAGGTGAGCCCATAGGCACACTGAAGAGGACTCCTTGTCATGCAAGAAGGTTCTGGGTCTGTTTGCCTCTCACTCATCATGACATGGTGCTCCATGAAGGAGGGGACAAGATAACATAGGACAGGGATGGAGGTGAGATGCAACCAGGTAGGGCAAGTGTATGCACTGGATGTATAGCAGTACATGCCCGGTTACTCTCCACTCGTGTTCCCATTTTACCTGAAGGTTCTGAGTGAGGAGTAGATCTAAGCCAGCAATGTGAAATCACACTTGGGCTGGTTGGCTTCACCTCCCCCTTGCCTGTCCTGCCTCACACTCTTTGTCCCCTCCAGTCCATCTCCCCTGCCCCACCTCCAGTCATCTCTGCCTCCACTTCCACATGTCCACTTCATTCTTCACCCTTTATGGGCTTTCTTCTACAGGCGTCATATACACTGTTTCCTGATGAGTGCTTCTCTCTACCTGTGCCCATAGATTGCTCAAAGTACATTCTCCCCAACTTTTATCTAGTCATCCTATCTCTAGGCCTTCTTTTGCCTTTCATCCTTTCTTCTTCCAGACACATCCCATCGGAGAACCTCTCATGCAAAAACTGTTGGCCAAGCACAAGCCCAGCTTCAGAATGCATATTATCTATGAGAGCAAAGCTTGGAAACCACTGCAGTGGGTGTTCAGCCACTAAGCATGCATTGGAAACTGTGAGATATATGGGAACAGCGGCTATTGGCTCAAAAGCAAGAGTTTTTTAATTATATTGGCTATGATATGAAAAGGTCCAAAACCTTACAGCACTCATGTGTAGACAGCAATGGGAAACATGATCCCAACCAAAGCTGATTTTGAAAACTGGACCTTTAGAAGTTAGAAACTTACACAGCTTTAAAAGAGGATGGTTTAGGTTTCATTAGTCAGAATGAAGTCAATGGCAGGAAATGTATCTTACAAATTCCACCCTTTGAAAGATGCGGTCTAGAGAAATAATCATCTGCTTTTCAGTAGATAAGATGTCCTGTTTTTATTTTATCAGCTATATATTAAGGTGTCATTTAGTCCAATGTACGATGGAGAGTAGATGAGTTCCCTCTTGACACTGATGGTTCTTAAGAAATCATAATTTCTAGAGTTCTTCTGAATCCAATACAGGAACTGACCCTAGCTCATTTAGTTTAAGGTTTTTAAAAGTGGCCATTAGAGCCACATAAAATGGCCTATTCCTGCAAAATGTGAATCAGTGATACTGATAATGGCTTGAAGTGGTAGAAAACCAGAATAAGGATGGGAGCAATAGCTCCCACTGTTGCTACTGGACTTGTTCCATACTGCACTAAGCACAGCAGCATTACATGTTTGCAGTAAAGAACTTTCTGGATAAGAGAGAGAAATTGCTTTCTTAGTCCAGGAAAAATATTTCTGTGTACAATAAAAAAAAATTAGAGGAGAGATGAGATAAAGTCACCATTTTTAAGGGCTGGCTCTTACAGGATATGTGCAAGGGGCATCTGTTCATTGCAACTTTTCACAGTAAACTGAAGCAAATACATTTTCTTCAGTTTGTTAAGCACAGGTACATGAGCAGATTGCAGTGTTACATTGCAGTTAAGTCTATCTGCTATCTAAGGAATTTACAGGAGCAGCTCTGTTTCCACTCTCCAATAGCTGAGGTGCTTCCCCTCTGCTGGCTCACATATGCCCAACTTTGTTCAGGGAGTGAAATCAGAAGTAAACTAACCCTAAAAAAGTAGTCATTATTCCTCTTCCCATTTATTCCTTTGAAGTAGTTTATCAAAAGTCCAGAAAAGAGATGAGTCAGGAACATAGCCTGCAGAGCACTGGACTAGATCTGCTGTGGCTGTTAGTATGGCTGAGTGAATACACAGCTACTCATTAGGATGTGGCAATTCAAGTGTGCCACTCAACTATAACTTGCTATCAAGGAAATGTATCCGCTACTGCAAATAAAGACACGCAAAATACTGCAGCAGTATCATTCTGGTTTCTCACACCAGACTCAGTGTGGGTGTGGCAAGGGAAAATAAGTCCCTAAATAAGTGGAGGAAAACTGCTTTAATTTATGTGGTAGCTTTAAATGTTAGTTTCAGGTTTGTGCAATGCACTAGACACAACTGAAAGTCTACTGAAGAGATTACTACAAAGCATCTGTCAATGTTTTTGCAATACCTCAATGATATTGTGATATATGCTAATATTTTGGAAGAATTCGGACATTGATGCTCTGTGATAATAGTAAGAATGTACATATGAAATGAAAACCAAGTAACTGCGCGTTGTCTCAAAATAGGGTGATTGGACTGGGCCCACAGAAAGCAAGAAGAGAATTTCCTTAAAAAAAAAATGGAGGCTTTACAGAATTAGCCAAGTCTATAGGCAATCACATAGGGAATTGTTACATTTGACTGTTATTACAGCACGTTTACTTCTGCGTTGGTCAACATTGCAAAACTATTGAGAAAAAGAAAACATTTCAGTGGTCAGCAGAGTGAAATGACTTTTAGAGTTGGGAAAGATTCTCATACCTTCTTCTTTCAGGATTGACCTACCAATGTTTAAAATGCCTTGTGAAAAATAAATAAATTTTAAAAACACCTTTGTTTTTGCAGCTGTAATGTCACAAGGATAGTAGTGTCTGGTAGCTTAGTAATGCAGAACTCTAACTTCTCTAGAAAAGGCACCACCTGAGGGGAACTCTTTCCAGTCCGTTACATGTATAGGGTGGTCCAATCACTATTTGAGAGAGCGGAAAGAACTGGTCTCAGGTAGAGCAGGAATCTTGTAGGCAAAAGAGACAACTTTTAACTGAAGTAGTGTATTAGAAACTGAACTTTTAAAGATCAGCTTAGGAGTCAATCAGAAAAGCTACCAGCAATTTTCTCAATACACAAATGCAAACAGGCAGATCTGAGTCAAAGGATGGAAATAATATATGGATTATTTGCAAACATTGCCATAAGCAGGAAAGTCTTAAAGGTAAGCATTTAGGCAAAGTTGTCTAGGCTCCCTCTAGAACAAGTATCCAAGTAGAAATAAATGAGCTTGGGAAGTACCCGTCTCTCTGCAGTGGCCATCATGGGAGCCTACATGACTACCATTGAATGAACACTTTACTTTCAGACAGTTAATTTAAGTGACATGTCTGCTATATTCACCAATCAAGCTTTCCTGTAAAACAGCACCAAAGTGATCAGGACCACGGCTGATCACATTCTCTTTGGTACTTCCATCGCTGCAGCCAACAAGAGAAGATACACTCCAAGAGATTTAGTGTCTGTGCAGCTGAAACAGGATCTTATCATTGAAAGCATCCAGCTTCAGTACAGCCATTGGTGCTTCAGGACCTCACATGAACTTGTCATTGGAGGTGGTGTTTTGTCTTAGCTACACTTAGGTTTTCAGATCCTGCCACACCTGTGTAATTCATTTTCAGTCTAAGGACATATTCAGAAAGTTTATCACAGGACTTCACTGTAATAAAAAGCACACTGTACAAATCAGCCTTTCCTACAGAAAAGACTTTTTCACTGGAGGAAAGTGAAGAGAGTGACGTTATGGTACTTTCTCAGTGGAATGGCTGAATGTCTTGTTTCTGGCTGCAGTCTGGAGGATATTAAAGCAAAAGCAGATGTCTGTATAGATCGGTGTTTCTATTTCACAGCCAAAGCAAGTAACTAAATGTTTTAGGAAAGCTGCTTTGCTGCCTCTTTTGGAGCTGTGGCACTGCTTGGAATAGTAATATATCTAACAGATGTGCAGTGTCACAATGAAGCTTTGATATCAAAGATGCCAAGCAGAATTTGTCCTCTTCAGGACACATAAAAAACTTTGTTTCTCAACACAGCAGATATGCTTCTTACACCATATTTGTCTTCTGTAAATTGCTCTTTGAAAGCCTTGAAACAAAAAAACACGTTCAGATGGAAAATATTTTTTATTGATCAACTTCTTCTTCCAGACCCTCACTCCCCACCCATATTCCTGATCCAACATGAGCAATTCCACATGGTTTTAGGATTTGCCATTAATCATCTTTTAGTTGACTTTATTTCCTTGTTACACAACAGGAAGTAGGGATGTTTGACACCATATTCAGTGAAATAAAGGCCAAATGTTTGATAATCACTATAGGGTGTAATATAAATCCCAACAGTTGAGTATAAATACTGGTATGATTGAAAAAATATACTTCAATTCTTCCCACTAAACTGGATTTCCACATGACAGTTTTAAACAGCTATCAAACCAAAGACATGTGCCTCCTCAGACAAACAAGAAAGTTATCTCAAAGTGCAAACACAGAAAGAAGTTGTTAGATATAGTTAAGAAATATGGTTTGTCACGGTGAGATCATCAGAATGGCATTAAAAAAAAAAAACAGAAGAAATTACAAAGAAGGATAAGATAATAAAGCCAAGAAAAATTCTTCATTTCTTCATTTCTCAGAAACTTTTGCATATGGTTTTGAAAAGAAGGTTACAAATAAGAAAATCTGAAATACTTGTTCTGTAGGTACACAAGGTACTATGAAAGTACACATTTATAGCATATTGCATATAAAAATATTAATTTAGAAAGAAAATGTGAACCCAATTCTGTAATAATCTAAGACATTTTTTGTTTTGAAATACTGGGAAATGAGGAATCATAATCCAGCTTCTTTTGGACATGTTCAAATAGGGTTAACTTGCTAAATTCTTTACTCACAAGAATAATCTCACAGGAATTAGCAGAAACTACTAACATGAGAGATAACCAGTTAGACAGGGCTTGCAAGTTTCCCCAAAATACAACCTGATGTTGAGAAGATACTAAGGACCTTGAAAATGTGTTGATAAATTCAATGCAAGGAATGCACACTCTTCATTCTAGGGGAAAAACAGAAAAGAAGATTGGCTTTTTTTCTCTGAAGTGTGAGAGTTCATTGCATTCATACATAGTTGGAGTTAAATAACGAATCTATTTGTCTATAACTTGTGGAATTGACTGTCACAGTCCAAACACCATTCATATGAACAAAATAGCAAAACCAAGAAACTTTATTCTGAATAATATCTTCTGACAATGGAAAAGCCAAAGACTGCTCAAAGAAAAGATGGTAGCCTCTTCTCAACCACATGACTTGCGTAACTTCTGCAAGGCTGCATCATTTTCCCATCTTCAGACAAGGGCTCTTCAGAGCATCTCTACTCTCTCTGGGCTTTAGGTTGCTCCCACTGTTCTAGGTTGCCTCTGAAAGGGTATCTTTAAAGGAAGAGAATATTTAAGAGCTCAGGGTCTACCAAATCATACATCCATGGGCTGCATTAATTACTGATTTGCTTACAACCTAGGAATAGGTAGGGCTGTGGGAATGAAAAGCAGGACTGGAACAGCTGAGCAGACACATCTTATGAGTGAGAGCACAGCAAGGACTGATGTGCCTGCAAATGTCAGAGAGAAAGCATGGGGCAGGTGATAAAACTGTGAGTGTCATGCTCAGCAAATCTAAGATTGTTCTAGGGCTTTTGAAGGTTGTCTTGTTACTACACAAACTTCTCACTTCCAGTGGTTATTTGCCTGCGTTTGTCTTCTCTCTTCGGCAGCAAGGCAGCTGCCTCTCACGCCAGACTGCAGTGTGGTGCAACAGAGAGAGAGCAAGAGATGTCTTCAGTGAGGACAAGGAAACAGGAGAGAAAGGAACCTGATATCCCTGCTGGCTAGGACAAAATTCACTCAGGCATTGCTTCTGTTCTTTAGAGAGGCCAATGGTATGTTTCCAGTATTAACAACTCTATCAGCTCTCAAAGATGTTTTAAACTATACATTGGATCGATACCTGTGTGTCATGGCCTTTGCTGGGTTTCCATCACTGTATATCTGACCACGAAAACCTGAAGAAAAAAGTTCAAATGTAGGTTGCCATTTTGTTTTCGTTATGATTTGCATATTTATTCTCACATCAACTGATTTGGCTTATTGTTTCTGTACCTTTTTAAATAGGTGAAATAATGTCTGAAAATGTTTGGCTACATTAAATGGAATCCAGAAAAGTGGCCAAAAAAATTTTTTTTAAGAACATAAAGTTTGATCTCTAAGTCAATGCTATTAAATGCAAAAAAATAAGAATATTTTCCCATTTCCATCCTCTGTAGAGCAAATAAGGCTAAGCCATTCTAATTCCAAAGCACAATGGCTGACAGAAAAAATGCAAAGCATGGCAGTATAATGCATTCTATGTGCCAGAAAATTCTTCTTGCAGCTGGAAAGAGAGTAGTCTTCTTGATGGTTAGCTACACTGGGTTTTTTATAATAGGTACTGTCATCACTGGAATCTTGATTTTGAGTAACAAATGTGAAGCACATTATGTATGGCAGAATTGATGAAGCATAAGGTTAATATCCTCTATACAACAAACATAATGATCATGTATTACAGTTCAGATATTCTTGATATGCACACAGTTTCTCATATTTTTTCTGAATCTCCACAAATTCTTGAGCAGAATAAAAACTTGTGACAAAAAGTTCCACATTTAAATCAAATACTATGCCCCAAAAGATCTTTAGTCAGTTTTCAGTATTCCACCACTTTCATTCAATATGCAGACCCATTCTTTCCTACTATAAGGTAGAGGGGAATTCCCACTCTGCCACCTCCGGAGCCTTTAATTATTTTACATGCTTTTATCACACCCTTCACATTTCTTAAAAGGAAAACATGAATAAGGAAAATTCATCTAGACTACATGAATCACAACACTCTATTTAATTGATTCACCTTGAATGGGCTCGTTATGAGTTTTTAAGTGGAGAAGAAAATTGAACTAGAATTACGGAAGTGCTTGCACAGAAAACTACATTTAGACTACAAATTCAAGCCCCCTCCTTTTTAGTATCACACTTCCAAATCTGAAGCTATCGTTAACTGACATGTATTTTTAGACAACAGAGAAAATCTGTCCTAGGAATCACTACATTTACAATTAACTGGGAGGGGAGGTTGTTTGTTTCGTTGTGTTTGGGGAGGTGTTTTGGTAATGCTCAGATTGAGTCTCCTCCCGGTTTGATTCCTCTCAGTCTTTTTAGTTCTAAACCAGTCAATCCCCTCCTGTGCTCTTCACTGTAAACCCCACAGCCTCAGTTCACTCTGAACTCACTAACATCTACAATGCCTTACCTTCAGGGCCTGGAGATTTCAGAATATTCTGACTCCATGAGCGTATCTAAGTATACATCCAATCATAATAATAACCTCACCGTATCTCTGCAGCAGAGGGTAGTACTACTGTCCCATTTGCAGAGGTAGAGAATTAACAGTAAGGCTGTGCGGCAGCACTACAACAATAGCACTGTATGCCTGCTTGCCAAGGGTTGTTTTTAACTTGTTACTTCATGTGCCAACAGCCAGGTAAATACAGGTGTGGCACACAGAACTTGGCACAGGATGGAAAATTCATCCAGGAAGCGGAAAAAAAAGCCAGCCACACAAGTAGTTGAGGTACATGAGTCCATGGTCTATAAAGGAGGGTGAGCATATCTAGCTCATATGCAGACACCCACATTCAACCAGGTGAATCCCATCTTCAATCCCCAATAAAAACAAAGTTCACCTGAGATGGTCTCTTCTATACCATCAAGACGTAATTCTTCTTTTGTTGTCATTCATACTTACCACAGTGGATATCACAGATCTGCAGTGGAACTGAATAATCTACATCTGTCCTCCAGCCCTTTTAGAATAAAGAATTGAGTTTTATTTCCCTTTCAACGGAACTGTAGCTAAACCCTTGTGTTGACAAAATGAGTTTGCTTTATTAGTTTATTCAAGTGGCTGCATTTTTAAGTCTGTTTCTAAATAAATGCATGTGGAGACTGCTGGTCTGCTGTATGTTTAGTGGGTTGCAATTACTCTTACATTTCTAAATGATAAAGCCAATTTTTTTTTCTTTTTTTCTTTTTTTGTGGAGAACTCTATTCTGATAGATAATGTCTAATTTACAAAATAAAAAATTTATGCAGGAAAACATCAGTTTTGCCACCAAAAGTGATTTTTCACTAGGAAAAGAGTAACTTTCTTTAGCCAGAAGGCTCTTGCCAATTTCACTTTCGTGTTGCCCCTATCTTTCTAGCAGCAGAAAGTGAAGCTGACAAGGCCCTTCCAGGGCAGCTGCTGGAGTCTCACAGCAATCGCTGTCAATCTCTTGTCCCAGTGTCTGCTGAGAACATTAACTCCAGAGAGTAATAAACCCATCAGCTTAATGCTCATTTTCTATTAAGGTCATCTTAATTAAGTTCAGCTATGGAAACAGTGTGCAACAATACCAGAAATAATTTGCCCAGCTCTACTTTCAGGAGTGCTAATTCTAGGATACTATGCACTTACCGTGCTGTTTGCTGTATACCTAACCTTTTCCAGCTAATGCCAACTTTTAAAAAATTAATCTATGGTTTACTTGGATCTTTTGATACCTTGGAACTTTTTATTACAAAAGAACATATAAAGACAGGATTAACAATTTCCTGATGACATCCCTTTATCTGCCACAAAGGAGCAAGATCATGGAATGCAACTTCTCTGTTAATTAATGTCATCACAACAAGAGGCAGTGGCAGCATGTCAAGCTATAAATAATGTTCTTTGCCAACTGCATTCACACAGTATCAGATTTGGCTGGGAGGAGGAAGCTGTGAGAGTACCTTCTGGTTTCCATTTCGGGGTTTTTTGTTGGGTTTTTTTGATTATTTTGTACAGAGTACATGGCAAAATCAAGACACATACCTGAATGCAAATTGTTGACCCACACATTTCTCGTGACATAGCGATTGATACAGAATATCCCTAATGAAAAGAAAAAAAAATATTATTTTCCATGCCCTGGGACAATGAAAATTTATTGTGTCTCTCCAGCTCTTTGGTTCATTTGCCAATAATGGTATATGTTTTACTGCATCAGAAAATTAATAAAGTATATAGGGAAGGTTATTTATTTTCAGAGATATCCCTAGATCTCAGTGACCATAGGCAGCTGGTGTAATTTTGATGAGCGCATTTTGGGCAGCACAAGAAGAGAGCTAATGTTACTGCATTTTATGAACCATCGTAAGGCAGGACACCCTCCCTGGTGCTGCTCATACCACATTAGCCACTGAGCATCTTCACTTCTTTCTGCTGGTGTCCGTGAGTTGAAGGAATGGCCCTTTCTTTACAATTCTTCTGGATTTCCCATCACATCGTAAACTCAGAACAAGTTCAGCCTTAGGGTAAAATTGTCCTAAATGACTGCTCTGACACTTAACATTTGATTGTTTATGGTTTGTCCTCAAGATAACGTTAGTTACTCTACTACTAGCTACTTCTTTAGTATGGCAAAGTCCTAACATAATTTGGGACAAGTAAGGTGAATATGTTCTTTTCTGAGCATAAGTGAACAAGAATTGGTAGGTAGCGAATGAACATTGGTTTCTGCGAACACAGAGCTAAGTCTTGATGAAAACTTGGTGTATATTGTTCATGGTGTTGAGACAGAAAATGTATGTATTTTATGTGGGCTCTCATTCTGTCACAGTAGCAGAGGACATAACAGCTTTGTACTGGAGGGAAGAAAACAGCATTTGTAAATTATCAGTAACCTTCATGAAACACACACTTCCATACCTAGGTCTCCATCTCTGCTGGTAATACAGCATTTCCCCAGACACTTTGCCCCATTAGGGAAGACTCTTGATAAGGCCACCAATGCCCTCTGTAGTCTGTGTTGATACGGATAGCCATTTTCTCCCACGCCTTTCTCCATTATTTTAGAATCATAGAGTAATAGAATGGTTTTAGTTGGAAAAGACCTTCAAGATCATCGAATCCAAACACCAAACCAGCCCAAAGTCCACCACTACACCATGTCCCTAAGCACAACATCTACCCATCTTTTAAATACCTTCAGGGATGGTGACTCAGCCACCTCCCTGGGCAGCCTGTCCAGTCAGGCCAAGGTAACTCTGGTACGCAGGGTTGAACGACAAGGGCAGGTCACAGTGCTGCGGTGAAAATGTATGAGATACAGGCTTAGTTGCCTGTAGAGAGGAATAAGGCTCCCATTTCCTGACTAGCTGCTGACTGAAACAGAAATCTCAACCTCCCATGATCTTTTCCCTCTCTTTCCAACTTTGCTGGAAGAAGCAGTTGTGTAGTCATACAGTCAGCCATCTCAAAAAGCTAATTTGGCTGAAAACTTACCTTTTTGTGTGTGTTGAGTTTGTTTAGGCAGCTGTGAGACTTAGAGTGGCTCAAGATCATCACTGATTTATGCCTCAAGTCTTGCATTTCATGATGTGAGGTTTGCCAGGTCAGCTGTATCAGTGACCCATATATGAAATACTAACACTAACATTTGCTATATACATAACAGAAATACTACACCACAAAAACAATGTTAAAAGAATATTAAGGTTCCACTCGGTAGTCACTTCCTTTGATGTAACTTGATGTCATTTGACTTCAGTATCCTTATTTATTTCTTGCTTCAGTATAAGATCAGAATTAGAGCTACACGCTTCAAAAATGTTCCAGTAATTGTTCCAATATGTACATGCATGGGTTTTTTTAATGCTTTCAAGCTGCCGAGCAATAAATGGAATAACAAATGAATGCAGTTAGATATGTTTAAAAGTCTTACAATGTTTAGGAAATAATATATACAAACCGCAGAGACTGAATAGTGCATCCCAACAGATTCACACAAGGCCAGCTGCGTCCTGTTACACACAAGCACTGAGAACCGTGCCTTGGTTTGGGATGTGAAGGAAACTTGCATTCGTTCTGCAACTGCAGCAGTTCTCATTTTCCAAGCTGGTATTAGGGGAAAAGACTTACTTTTAGATGTACAAGGACCACATATTATATTCTAAGTTGTTACATTTAAAACAAAAGCTTTTTAAATTAATTAAGTGCCGTCAAATGATATGCAAGTAATTATTTTGATTCCCATAAGTTACCTTTTATACTGATAAACACTCGATCTACTGGGGATATATAGAAGTAGCAAGCTGACAAATCTCTTTGCCATAACTTACAAGCTACAGTCATGTGAACACATCTTGCTTACTAGACAAGGCTTATATCTAGTCACTGATTTAAATATTTTTCACTATTTAATATTATGTAATTAAAAAAATATATTTACCTGGAAAGTCTCCATGAGCAAATGGACACTTAACCCAAGAGCCTTGCTTGGTTGTAAACTGAAAGCAGAAAAATCTATTAGGAAAATTGATTTTTCAACTTCAATCTGTGGCTGCAGATACAACTAGAGATACTCAGTCCATTCCAGAAAGTTGCAGAAGGTGAATTCACAGCTTTCCTGGTCTACGGTATCTTCCAAGCCTTGATTTAAATCAGGCCCCACAGTTCTTCAGGTATTTATGCACATTCTTATTTTACAGAAACATGTAGTTTCACTGACTTAAAAGTAATATAAAAGAAAACAATAATATGCCTATGTTAACCTTCTGTGGCATTCCTTTCTCAACTAGAATCATAAAAGGTACGCCAGTAAGGGTAGTGTATCAATCATTTTTATTACCAAGTATTTAATATGGAAAACTTTCTATGTTAAGTTTAGTGCATGCTTCAGAGTTTGCATAGACCTAACACATTTTTTCCCTGCTTTTCTTAAGAAGAGAAAACAGAGGGCACCATCTGACCTGTGTCCTATCTTTCATTGCTGCACTTCCAAAGAACCTCCTTTTAATCTAATCTTTCCCATTTACTTCATTCATCAGAGCTATTGAACAAAATATTTATCCTAAAGAACTTTAGCAACTCATTTTTTTAGAGTTGACAGAAAAAAGGCACTTAGCAGGTGTTTTACAAAGAAATCCCTTTACCTTCATGCAAAGTCTTGGGTGAGTGTCCACACGAGAATATTTAACCTGCTTGAAAAGAGAGCACTCAGCATTAGCTAGTTTCATTAAGTAGTCTCACAAAATAAATCATGGTTTGATTGCTGAGAAATGAACTGTTCTGTTTGCTTTATAAGCACCCCATGAAGTTAATCACATAATATAGTAAGAACAGAAACAACTGCTACTTTGAGTTACTGAATAATTTGCTTCTTTTTATCTGTATCATGTAGCATTTTTTATAGTCAGTCTCACCCATTACAACTAAATTAATTGATTCTATGGTGGCTTATGTGCAAAATTCTGAATACACAGTCATCTTGTTTCAGTCCCTTATTTACCATTCAACAACTCAGCAGAACATTTAAACATACACCCAAAGGTGGTGTTTCACCTTCAGCTCAGAAATTTTTCAATTTTCCATACTCCCATTCCAGAAAAGACTTAAACATACACTGAATTTTGGACATTCACTTAAGTGAGCTACAAAATGTTGCTTTCTTGATTAACAAATGTTTACCTGCCAAGGGCTTCACCATAAAAAGCCTTGTCATGTATAAAAACAATTACTACCCATGTAAGTGGCCTTTCTTAAACACCATTGCTCAACTGACTGAGCACAATGGATCCTACACACAACACTTGGCATCATGACCAAAGTAATACCTCTTTCTTGTAACCTTTTTGAGAAGAACACAATGGATGTCCTTGGGTATGTCTACAATAGGGTCACAAAAGATAGTTCTGTAAGAGTCCACTCAGATATGGAGACAGCGTTGTCATCGACAGAGAAAGCCCCACCCTAATTACAAGAGTTACGTGGCTTTTGGGCCTAAGTCAGTACATGTGCATGGTATTAGCGTGCAGCATTGCATGAGTTTACTAGGGGAGCTGGCACTGTGTGAGGAATCTCTGCAGTAGTCTCCAGCACATTACACAGATGTTCTTCAGGGTTACAGTACAAGAAATTGAACAAATTCAATATCAAACCTTTTAGAATGAATTAGAAAAAAATGAGAAAATTCATTGTGCCCATGAATATTAATAAATACAGGAAAACAATAGATGTGACCATTACCAGCCAGATCTAATTTTAGGTTTCTTTCTTTTTTCTCTCTCTCTTTTTTCCCCTCTCCTGTTTTTATCTTTTTTGTTCTTTTTTTTTCTTTCCTTCAAACAATGAGTTGTGCTTGTTGTCACCAGATGATGAATCCCACAGGGAACACTCACATGTATAAAATTAAATACATTTGGTTTTGCAAGATCAAATCTTTGCTGAAACCCATAAAATGGTGAATCTGAACAATCACCAAACACTTAGACAGGAGTTCCTAATCAAGAAAGTATTAAACAGACTTGAGCCAGCCTCCTGCAAATCACATCATCAAAATAATACTCATAAAGTTTCCAAACTTAAGAATTTGTACTTTATTTTGTTTGCCTTTTCAGCTGTTATCTAAAGTTTACTGGCTTCTCTCCACAATTCTTTGAAAACTACTTTTCAAGAGAAAAGCCAGAATTCCAATCAACCTCATAAATTCAGTGCATTCAGCTCCATGAGACTTCAGACTGAAGTATTCAAGATACATTCAATGAAATCCCTTTTCAACTTTAAAACAAAAGTCCTGGAAGAACTGAGGAACTCAGTATTTCAACACCCACAATTTCAATATATTGGACCAGGTAGCATTTCAAAGAGATTTCCATGGAGTACCAAAACAATTGTATACTACCAAAGTACTGTTATATCTCTAGTAAGTTCTAAAGAGATTTAGCTTTATCTCACTTACATTTTAGGTGTCTAAATGTTAAATATACAAATCTGATCTAATCACAATAAACTTTTGTGATAGTCAGTGAAAAGAAAGAGGTACTTTCAGAGAGAAATCCCTCCAGCCTTTCTTATACGCTTGTCTTTGGTCAAGAAGGGTTGTCCTCTCAATGTGTCTGTTTCACTCTCTTACTTGAAAGGGAATCTGACACAGATAGCATAGACTTGAACATCTATCTTGTAGACAGCAAAGTCAGAGTGAATGAATCATGCCTTTACTACAAATGAAAAGCAGGCCCTATTTACCCCAAGAATTTTGCAAACATTACTAGCTTCACAGTCATCTCCACTTTTTATTTCTTAATAGTGAGTCAGTGAGCCCTTTGAATAAACCATGTGGCTAGTGTACAAGAACAGACTGTGATTATGGATAGCTTTAAGTATCAGAGAAGAGAGGAATTTGAAACTGCTCCTATTCCAAAGTCTAGCTCTTCACATTATGCCTTTGGTCATGCCCTTCAACCTCACAATTCGAATAAATCTGCATAGCTCTTACTTTCTCAGGAGAATTTTTGGAGGAGTTTTGTATATCTTCACAGTGGTCATTAGACGTCATTAACCTGCATAGGTTAACTGTGACAAGCACAGGACAGGCTGGCTCCCAAGCTAGAGTTTGTGTCACTGAGTTGTAAACAAGGTTATCCCATAGCGCCTTCGTATCTGTGCACAAAGAGAGGAAGCATTATTCAAGATGCCTAAAAATGAATCAAAATTGTTCATAAATCTGGTGCCTATACATGTGCTTAAAATCAAAAGCATCACTTTTCCATTTCCTTGTCATTTTCACCAATCAGAACTGCAGTGTTTCACACTGTAAACGTAAATCTTGAGTTTATGCCACCAAAGTGTTGGCATTTACCAGAGGTACTCAACCTGAGAGGTTCGTCTTACTAGTCTCCCACTATGATGATAGATGGGCATCACCAGGAAATCACCCCAGCTCTTAAAGAGGCTGCACTGGAAGTGTGTTCTCTGCCCATCAATCACAAGGGGAGTGTAAAGCAAGTAAATTCCTCACCAAGGACCTTCAGTTAACTGTACATGGTAAATCCAAATTCATTCATACATTAGTGACTAGAGATTATGGTATTGCAGACAGACTCTGTGTGTCTTGTATAGGACTTACGTATATGTATATGTAAGAAGATAAATATGTATATGCAAGAAGACATGATGTATATGTAAGGAGATAAATTGAAGCCTTTAGCTAAATATCAAGAATTCAAATAGTAAACAAAGCTGTGCAAATAATTCACAATAAATAATTTTTCTACAGCGTTATAATAAATATTTCTATGTATACTGGGCACATAGTTATTTAAGACCTAGTCAACATATAGTTGGGGATATCTTAAGTAGGAGCTATTATAAAATAAAAGCTGTCATATTTATTTGATTGATCCAATTAGTCACTTTGTACTGACTTTCTTTTCCATTTAGCTGCATGTGGTTGAGAGAATTTCCAGCATGAAATTCCAACTGAGTCATTCAAAATAAGACTTTGACTTATTGCCTGAGTTTCCTTCTGTTTTACTCCTTTGTGGCTTGTACTTATTTATTTCATAATAAAGATGCTCATTCATCTCCAGTCTCATATAATTACATTGTTTAGTATACAATAGACAATCATTTTTCTTTTTTTAATTCTCTCACATTAATCCAAAAGAGTTATTACTTAGAAGAGCTTCTTTCCGATACACAACTGTTAATTACCTCTTACCACAGAACTAACTCTATAATCTCAATTTTATTACATCAGTGATAAACAAAAAAAAAAGAACCAAGCTACTTTAGGTATTCCAGCAGAGATATCAGGAAAAAGAAAGATTTAAAAATATTTGTATGTGAAGTATAATAAACCAATATGACAATGCATGGTTTTCACCTTAGGTGAATTTCAAACTGTGACATACAACTGGAGCTGATGAAAATCACTCACATAAAGAGTAATCACACAATACTTGCCATTTTCAAAGGGACAAAGTTGTATCCTCCGTGCGTCTGGAATTGCCAGCCAACTCTACAACCCAAAAAGTGGCCATTAGCTAGAGATTCTCAGATACCCCAGTTTTTAACATTTCAGATGGAATGTGCAGAAAATCTTTCCACCAAAGTTAAAAATTCTGTGTTTATTAGAAAGCTTTGGAAATAGGTTGTTTGCTTTTTTTAAAAAGGATGTTTAACACTAGGTATCTTTTTTATTTTTCATTATTAGGGGGACTGGAGCTGCTGAACTAAGGTCATCCCTTCTAGCACTATATTCCTATTATATCTGGGTCACATATTTAGTTTTATTTCATTTAGAAAGTCTTCCAGTTTGACTTTTGTTAAGTTTCTTACAGTGTCATTACTTTTTAGGGCTATCAAAAGACATCCAAGAATCATAATATCAGATCTCCTGACCTCTGTTATGTGAAAGGATGTATCCTTAAAAATCTGAGGACTAAAACTTAATCCAATCTGCAAGTATATGTGCATGGCTGTTACTGTACTCTAATTATTTAGATTAATGTGCAAATATTTCTACTACTCAGTTCCCATCTGTTTGCTCGGCAATTGTAGTGTGGAATACTCTGTGTATATGCTGAGTGGAATAATATCTTTCCAGTGACCTCATACCTTTCAGAGGTATCCCTGGGCTTGGAAGAGACCTTGTGGTTCAACTCACATATTAAGGTATGTGATTTTTAGGTGCCTACTATGTACACATCTCAATGTGACTGGAGTGCCCAAATTACTATTACAGTAGCTATATGAAGATCTATCCAGTACCGCCAATGGAGTCTACAGTGCTAACCAGCATATCCCAAACCAGTGGTCTACATTTGGCCAGTTGAGTAACTGACTGCATTAACTAGATCTCCATTGACTATAAGACTTTGGATGTCTAAGTCAAATGTAGATATCTTCATCTGGACATCTGCATTTATGTATCTTAATCCGCAAGGTAAAACCTACCCCAAAATTCACAGAGAAACTAGGTCACATAGCATCTTTATATCTTACTGAGTTAATTTTAAATTGGTTTGGTGACCTTTTATTCCTTTATTCCATGTAAACATAAGGAAAAACTTTTTTACTGTGAGGGTGACAAAGCACTGGACCAGGCTGCCCAGAGAAGTTGTGGAGTCTCCTTCTCTGGAGACATTCAAAACCTGCCTGGACGCGTTCCTGTGTAACCTAGTCTAGGTGATCCTGCTCTGGCAGGGGGGTTGGACTGGATGATCTTTCGAGGTGCCTTCCAACTCCTAACATTCTGTGATAAGTGACCCTTCTGATGTGTATTTAGACAGCAAGCATATATTAGCTTTGCATGTGTTTTACTAGGCTAACTAAAACATATTCTTTGAATCTCCTTTATAAGACAGTCTGTCCATTCCCCGGCCATTCTAGATTTTTTTTATGTACAGCTTTCATTTGAATTCATGTTTCTTGAATATGGATACAAGAACTGCCTACAGTATTTGAAAGAAGCTCCTTGCCTGTTATCTTGGAATAATCTAGACCTTGGTTCATGTATACATGATGTAAGCATGGTAGTTTAATCATATTAGACCCGGATCTTTTTTTCTCCACTATTATTTCTAAATGTGGACTCCCATCTTACAGCAAGAATTCTTTTTATTAGTGCAACTGCACGAACTTGCACTTTATACATTACACTTCATCCTCCTTTAGTTATTTCATGTATGAAGGTCTCTAGTCTCTTCCAGTTATCCTGACCCTCTTCCATTTTGATTACACCTCGCAACTGTATTATCAGCAAATCTCATTAACACATTCCCACATTTTGTGTCTATGGCATTGATGGAAATATTTATATAAGAACTAAGTGTGGTCCTTAAGTAACTTTCCTACTAGCAAAAAAGGACCAGCCGAGTTAGCTCTCAGCTAATAATACAGTATTATCTACCATACATATCTTGTTCTCACACCCTGCTTCCCCAGTGCCTCTTCTAGATTGCCTTGCAATATTATATCAAATGTTATGCTGAAATTAAGTCAGATTAAATTTTTTGTCTTTTCATTGCTTACAAAAATCAGTCAAATTAATCTTCCACAATACACTCCAGAACTTAAACTGTATCACATTTTCTTATCTCCATACTTTAATTAGTGTTTCCTAAAAAATCTCTTTTACATTTACATAATCATAAGGTCAGACAAGCTTTAGTCAAAAACTTAGGTCTAGAGCCTGTTTGCACAGATTTTTCCTCATTTCTTAGCACAAATCCCTAAAATTTCTTTATGAGAAACACAAATATACGCCAAATTCCAGACTGTATTACCTCAATGCAAAGACAAGGGAGTAGCTGAGAATATTTCAGAGAAACTGATTTTAAAGATTTCTTCCCTTTTATCTGAAATGAGAAAAATAGTCATGAATCTGGGACAGTAAATGCATTTTAATAAAGCTAAATAAAGATAGAGAAGGCCATTTCCTATAACTATGAGCTCAATGAGCATTTCCACCTACAAGTCACCCTCCACCAGTTCAACAAACTCTTTTGAGCTTTAACTCACCACAGCAAATGCCCCTACATCTTCACAGGTAAACCATTTGTGACACAGGCGAACGTAATAATCTTGATCATGGCGAAAGCTGGATACATTCACTGATATAATTTTCCTTGCCCTGTCTACAGTATAATCAAACTTTCCAGCTGAAAAAGAAAATTCAAGCATGACATTTTCACATCTGCTTCTTCATTACTTTTAAATTTCCGATTTTGTTATTTCTTTATATAATGTACAGAATGTATTTCATAACTTGATGGACATGAAATTCAACATCTGTAGATTCTTACCTGGGATGTTTGAATTCATTCTTTTTATATCCCTATATTCCTGAAGGTATTCTTATTTTATGAGATACAATAATTTTCATTGAATAAATTTCAATATTGTTCAGTTTAAGCTAGCACTGACAGTACTGAGAGGCCAGGACACCTACTGATTCTACCTCAACCTTACTACTTGAAATCTTATGTAGTTCTTTTACAGATACTTGAAATATACACACATACTGCTACAAAAGCTGATCATCCTATAGTTGCAATTTCATTACTTAGGAATATGTGCAACTATTTTAGACAAATATAGTATGTTTTTATACTCATGGGTATGCCAAAATCAGGATAGCAGTTTGGCAAATTAATTTCAATCTATTTATGATGTCTGTCTATAGAAAAAAAATAAAACCAGCAATCCAAAGTGCATGAAAAGGACACAAACCTATTTCCAAAAGTTTAGGATTAAATGCTTTGTCAATATCTTTATCTGCTATCTAGCATTTCCAAGTCAATATAAAGAAACACATTTTCCAGGACGTTATCTATCAACTGAATGGTAATTAATTATAAGTAGTGGTAGCTCTAAATCATCTTTTTTTTTCCCCTGCTATTCAGCTATAAAAACATATCACTGTATATGTCACCAGAAATATTTCACAGCTTTAAGTTATATAGTAGATCAGCTCACCTGAACAAACAGGAATATATTTTCCCACATCACTGTTTCTGCAATCTGCAAAATAGAATCCAGAGTTTTCTTTAGTGCTGCTTTTTTATGTAAATGTATAAATAATCTGCCAAATTATCCAATAGCTTCCCAACAGGAAACCTGCCTCTAATACACCTTTTAAAGGCAGACTTATATCCACTTCTAGATAAACAGCCAAAAAGGTACCCTTACTGCACACAGAGATTCCATCACAACTTGCCCTAAGGAGCTATCTCACCACTGTGGGTTTTCTACTGGAAAACCTCATCAGCAGTTTAAGGTGACACTCCACGATGTGAGACTGCACTTCTTTACCTAGTACCAAACAATAATTTAAGTAACAATAATAAAAATAATAATAATAATTTCAGTTATTTTTTTCCTTGGAAGCTACTCCTGTTGTTTATCAGGCTTATTCCTGGTAAACTGTGTATTTTTTGCTACTCCGACTCTACACTAGGCTTACAATGAAACACCCTATTTAGCTCCCACGGAGCTTACCAGAATTAGAGGCCAGGCAACACTTTCAGAACTAATATCTAATATTTGTATCTCCAAAACTTAAATCTTAAGAACACTAAATCAGCTTGTAATATGCTGCCTACTGTTTTCATCTCTCCTTGCTTAACTCAGTATTAAAGCAGCACTTTGCTCTCATTTCCCCGTACAGTTCTTTTCCCCAGAGCAGTATTTCCTATTTTCATTTGTTTACTCACTTTTGTAAACTGTTTTAAAACTGGACTTCATAAAACCTTATTTTCCCCCTTCTTTATTCACAAAGTACATATCTACTTCAATAGTGAATTGGGATTTATCAAGAAAATGAAAGGCATTTTAACTACAAAAAAGGCTTTACTCCTACAAAAGTGTGAAACAGCCACAACGTGTCCGACACTGCATGCAAGGGATGATGCCATACTACGGGGCAAGGGTAAGAGCTGCCCTCCTAGAGGCTCTGGAGCTGGGAAGGCAGGACAAGCCTGGGAATCGGACTAAAGAAGGGATCTCTTCTCATTTTTTTCACCACCATTTGATGCATTTGTCTCCACTGTCCACACTATATCCTGGCTGGATCACAGTGGTGAATCTATTTTTATATGCATATGGTAGGCACTTTACCCCAAATACATGGAAAAACCTCACCTTATCTTATTCAATTACATGAAACCAGGCAATAGAGCAGCTAGTCAATGAAAGTAAAAAGACATTTCTTTACACTTTCTTATAAACCTTTCCTCAATCCCTGAAACCACCTGTGGTCTAACTGTGAAGAGAAGCAGAGGCTCCACCTTACACACAGAGAGCACACAGGACTAAACCCACGGGCAGAGAAAGAGCACATGTCAATCACAAGAAGGCCAATTAGGACAAATGCATAGTGTAATGCAGTTTTCCATGTACTTTTAGATAAAAACTCTGGTCCCTGATTTTTTATAGCAAGTCAGACATTTATATGCACAAAATGAATCATCAAAACGTAGAGTAAGACTGGTCCTGGCACACGTGATCTACCAGCAGTTAGATCTGTGTATTCCAGAATGTGATCGGGCTTTGCATTTGGGTTTGTTGTTGGGGTTTTTTTATTGGTTTTGTTGTTGTTCTTACTTTGAAAATATATTTCTTGAAAAACATCTGGTTTAAGATGTTTTCCTACCTTCAACATAGTATTCCTGACTCAGCTTGACTTCACAGTAATTTGGTACTGTTTTCATGGTCACATAGATGTGTTGTGCTACATTGACTTCAATGCAATTGAATTGTACCTGTACCTGTTTAAAACATTTATAAAATTAAGTTTGTGCATGACTTTCAGAATACATGAAAACCACCAGTTATCAGAGTTAAGCAAGCAATATTCTTTGTTTAGATTTGTTTATATTTACAAGGAGCATTAAGCAGTCTCAGACAGTGTAGCATTAAGAATGTAAAATAAGCAGATACTTCTTAATGAAAGGATTTCAGACAGTATCATTATTTCTAATCCAGGATGTTACTATCTTTTTCACTTTCAGAAATTCAAGTATCTAAAAGCTATCAAATACACCTAAAAGCATAGAAATACAGGTACCCACCGCTTATTTAACTTCAAAGGCAAAATGTCTTTCATACTACCGAAAGTCCCAGTTTGTTGGCATTTTACAAGCACAAACACTTGCAGAATATGAAAAAATGTTTGTTTAAACATTTAATGGAAACTTCAGCAAATTTATTCATTTCAGTAAGTGTGAGAGGGAGAAAGTACTTTATGAGACTGTCATGGTTTAGGGCTGGGGTTGAGGTCCAATTATAGCAGGTCATTCCCTCACTGATATCAGTAACTATTAAATTCCGTATACGTTTTCATGTTGGATATACTTCTGTATGGTACAAGGCATTTGGAGGGTAAAAGGCATCTTATGTCACCATTCTAGTTACTGAGCTGAAACTAAGAAAATGTCAATAAATACATTTGTTGAGTCTTCCCCATAAAACTTACCTTACTCTAAAAGCTACCACTTGTCCATTGCTAGCCTTGCATTGCCCACAGGGACGTTTGATTACCAAGTGAAACAGAGTGTAAATGGCAATTGCAGTTTGGGAGAAGAACTTTGTTTCACATGTGCAATCAATAAAACATTTACAAAGCACCATGAAGTAACACATTTTGTATGGTATTTTGTATAGTTATCCACCACAGATTGAAAGCAATAAATAATCTCTTTTAAACAGTTCGTCAAGAATGGTTCTTTTTTTTTTTTTCTCAGTTGAAAATTTCAATAACAAATACTTCTGGGTGTAGGTTAGAAAAAATCGTACTCTGCTGTTGCAGTTATTACCATGAGTTTAGGACAGATGTGCACAATTGCTTAGGCACTTGGTTGTCTTCTAGATGTGTAAATTCCATTGGCATGGTTGGACTTAAATAAACCATATATATGCACTTAAAATCCCTGTGGCATTCTGTTTTCTAGCAACTGTGGTTACAAAAGCTTCCCCACAATTTGATGGGCACAGAAAAAAAGCTAGAAAGATTGACATGGAAAGTAGGCTTTGCAGAGGCAGCTTCTCATCCAAAAAGGCAAGTGGAAGAAGTACGAAAATGGTGGAGAATTTAATTTACAGTTTATAAAAGGACATTTTGTTATGGAGCTTCATTTGACAATGCTGAAGCATACATTTCATTGCAGTTTTCAATAAATCAGTAAGAGAAGAAAACAAGGAAGATATGAAATACATTTTCCAAAGATTCATAAACATTTAAATGAAAAACAACCCAAAAAAAGGAGTCTACCTTTTTTCCAGTAAGCATCTTGCTTTTTTTCCTAGCAAATCTCACATTCGTGCACTGAGATTGCTGTGTGTCCAGTGAAAGAGAACATATTTCCAGCCCACGGATATTTTCTGAAATTAGTTAGGAATAGATTTCAAAAATATAATTCAAGTATCTTTAAGAAAAACAAAAAAATAAATTAAAATATACCATATTGTAAGTTTCCCTTCTAAGTGAAAGGTACATGTATTTTATCTTTGTTTTAAAAATTTTGGCATTATATATAATACACACATGGGGATACGGGCAAGGATTTAATACAGATTGCTATAAATTAAAGCTTTAATTATGCAAATTCTTATGGAAACTTTTAACATAAACTCTGAGTGGAGCACACCAGGAAAAATCTAAATGGTAACACAATAAGCACATGAATGGCAGAGTGTAAGTAAAAACAGACTATGCCCAAAAGTTTGAGTTCTTTCATTTTATTTTCATGCAGAATTGTAACTTCGGGCACATCAATTATTTCTCCTTTTGTTGGGGCAGTCGCTCATCTCTGAGATACCCAGGCAGACAGAATCAGTGTGTTTGTGTGCATGCACACATGTCAGAGCAAGTATGCTTGGGGCACTGGGAGGGGACAAGTTAAGTGTATTACATTGTAAGTAAAAATTCACTTGTCTGGAATTCATTATCTTAGCTCTCACTCCCTTGAGAAAGGCAAGGGCTTTATCCTGGTTTGTAGTAAAATGGTTTCACAAAAAAAAAATGTCTTTCTGATACAACTACATGAAAACAGCTTGGACACAAACATTGCAATATGGAAAAAAATGCGGTTGAACAGGTAAAAACAAAAAGTAAACAGAAATTATTCAGTAGCAAATCTGCTTCCTACCATCGAGACTCACAGTGCCTTTAATGTTTAAATGAAGGGAGCATGGGCTTCCTTGGACACACATCATCACTGTTGAGATCTTCATGCCTTTCAGTACCATAGAAGATAAAGATGCAGGAGCATCATGGCAGAAGCTGTTAAAAATGTCACCTACAAATGCAAAATACAAAGACAGAGAAATCTCATTGAGCAGAGGATATCTGGGGAAGAAAATGCATCAAAGATGAAGCTCCAGATCTACTGAAATAAGTAGAAAGTCACCATTGACTTCAGCAAAGCAAGGACTATACCTAAGACTTTCACATGGCCAGCATAGCTAGTTGGCTCACTAGCAATGCAGGAGGGTTGGAAAGATGCACATTACAGATGGGCTTTAATAATGAATTTCCTGGCTTAGGGAAGTGTTAACCCACAAGACAAAGGAATCACACTTTTAACAGTTAAGGCTAGCAGAGCACACCTACACTAATAGTGTTTTTAATAATCAGACCTGCTAGATCGTGGCTAGACTGATAGTTTATTTAAACTTCTTTTCAGACCATTAGCTGTATATTGTGAGCACTCTTATAGGTAGTATTTTAATTTTAGGATTGGCTGATGGTCTCAACTGCTGTTAAAAATCTCATTTTCACACAAGAGGGCACCATTGCATTCCTAGTCATGGAAAAATCCTTCACCCCTACAGGATTTTCTTTTTCCTTTTCCTTTAGACTAGAAAGGCAAAACCAGAATAAATATTATCCAGGCCTTCTTCAAGGTGTAAAGAGTAGGCATGGAACACAGCTACTATGTCTCATCTTATTTTCTTATGCAAATTTAGTCTTACCACACCCTTTGGACATCATTTTGCACAGCTGCTTTCTATAGGCTAATGCAAAAGAAAGAAACAGTCTTAAGGCCCTAAATCTCATCAGTTAGCTGTATTTAATCTCTTTCTACTTCTGAGACTGCCCTGCACGGAAATAAGTTATTTATTTATGAATTCATGTTGGTACAGTACCCTGCCTTGAATCTGTCAGGCTTTAAGGTGCCCTCACACTTGGTATCAGGAGAAATAAGTCTTGCATGATACAAATCACAAGTCAGAAAAGACAAATGCTTCACACCTGAATCTCCACACCATTATCCTGGTTTTGTGACATTAAGTATCTTTTGGAAGCAATAGGATATGCTGATATTAATTAAATGGAGAAGAATGAAGAAACAAGGGCATTTCACCTCAACTGATAGTAGAGTTAACTCTCAATTATCCAAGATAATATTAACAATGAGAGAAGACAATTTGTGCAAACCAAAGGAAAACCACAGATTGTTCCAAGTACACAAATCAGGCTTCAAGTACATTGACTTATGAAGAATTTGTAAAAATGTTTCCACAGAGGAGGGGCAGCCATGAGAAGTACAGTGCACAGCAGCCAGATGTGAACACTATATTCCATGTTCCAAGATTGGGTGGTGCAGTAATCCTGAAAGTATCTCTGGATGGAGAGTTATTGTACAACATCCAATCAATCCACTCACAGCTAATTGGGAGATTATTACATTGCAGCACTACCTGATAATTATTACTAATAATGTGATAAGTGATGATTAGTTTTAGCTCTGTCTCTTTGCTCAAAAAGATATTTTCTTGACTGAACCATATGACATGCAGTTGTGGATACCAAATGGTATCCAGGAGATACTGTTTCCCCTTAATTACTTGGTGTTTGGTGTAAATTTCTTGACCCAGGTCTAATCTTGTCTATTCCCATGTCTGTGTAGAAATGATTATATATATTATATACATTATCAATGTTGACTGTTCTTCACAAAGTATTCTATCTGGATGAATTTAACCATATTATTTGACCCTACTTATTTTTAGGAAAGATTGTTGCAACTCAATTGAATGAGGCATGGTATCAGATGTCACAGGCTTGGAACTATCTCAGGAGAATCCTAAGCCATACCTAGGTGCATCACTGTCATTAGGTCAGTATCAGACTAAGGCACAGACAGTTTTAGGGATTACCATCTGTCCATAAGAAGGGACATTGTCTACCTTAAACACAGTTTCTACCTTCAAGCTGCGAACAAATAAGTAATACACTAGATAAAATTAAATTACTCTTCCTTTTTGGATTTTTTCCATTAATTTTATAATACATTTTGAGAATTGCAAAAGATGCTGCAAAACCCATTAATAATAATTTAAATTGGCATCATGCATGAGGATATTAGTTTTGGATCACAATAAATATATGATACAAGGAAGAGCTGACAGAAAATAATTTTCATTCTATAAATCATCACAATATAAGACTCATTTCTGACTAATTCTCCAGTAAACTGTTACCTTATCATCTTTTAATCCCCCCTCTTAAGTTTCCTCTGGAACACACACTTTTCCTTTTCTCACAAGTAGTTTGATCTACACCCCAGAAGACACAAAGATACATCTTGCTACACAAACCATCTGCTGAGTAAATCTTGCCTAAATTTTAGGTTTATTAATTATAACTGTAATTACCCCTACATGAGAGAGGGATTGTTGCTGTAATAAAAGCTTCCTTGATTATGGACACATATAAGCTCAGCCATAAAGAAGCCAAGGCTTATTATTCAGCATGTAGACACTTTCCTTGTACTTTTGCCATCAGCCCAACCACAGCAGATTATTTTCTTATCTGATGATGCAGCAATCAATCTAGAACTGTCACAACAGCAAAACATACCTTATGTACACCTGGATAATAGAAGCCAGAGGTAAGCAATGAATACACAATAGAAATTATTAGATGGATAATATGAAGCCTCAGGCAAGAAGATGAAATTGGAGGACAATTAAAAAAAAAAAAGATGCAGAGAAAATCCATTAATAACAGGCCCAGACCAACACCCAATAGAAAATCTTAACTGGCTTTTTTTTGCCTGATATTTCTTCCCTACATGAATTGTAAGAATCTAAGTACTTAGGATACTGATAATGCTAAATCTGTGAGAATATCTAAACCACACTACAGTTGCTTCACTGGAGCATGCTTCCTTGAGTAGAAATTACAGTAACATTTCAAACATATTTGCATATGATTTACCACAGTATCTACTGCATCTGTGCATTAGGATGATTCAACAAACTTCATAAACAAACTAGATATGCTTTCCTAAGATAACCACTTCAGTTAATAAATACCAAATTTGCTACTTCTAAGTACTTGTACCAATTATGAAATTGATTAAATTTCAGGCTAGCAGCCTCTTTTTCACAACAGATTTCAATGCACAGTAAGTTAGAAGAGTTTCATAGCTGTATATTCAAAAAGTATTTCAAACTTTCAAGGATAATGGACAACACAGTGATATACTCTGCCAAATACATTTTCTGAGAATGTAAGGCTTTTTTAAAGTCATTGATATATTGATATACTCAACAACCTCATGCAACGCTACAGGCTTGGGGAGGTGTGGCTGGAAAGCTGCCTGGAGGAGAAGGGCCTGGGGGTTTTGATTGACAACCAGCTGAAAAGGAGCCAGCAGCGTGCACAGGGGGCCAAGAAGGCCGATGGCATCCTGGCCTGCATCAGCAATAGTGTGGCCAGCAGGAGCAGAGAAGTGATTGTGCCCCTGTACTCAGCACTGCTGAGGCCGCATCAGTTTTGGGCCCCTCACTACAAAAAGGACATTGAGATGCTGGAGGTGTCCAGAGAAGTGCAACAAAGTTGGTGAAGGGTTTAGAGCACAAATCTTATGAGAAGCAGCTGAGAGAGCTGGGGTTGTCTAGTCTGGAGAAAAGGAAGCTGAGGGGACACCTTATTGCTCTCTACAACTACTTGAAAAGAGGTTGTAGTAAGGGGTTGGTTGGTCTCTTCTCCCTCATAGCGAGTGATAGGACAAGGGGTAATGGTCTCAAGTTGCACCAGGGGAGATTTAGGTTGGATATTATGAAGAATTTCTTTACTGAAAGAGTTGTCAAGCACTGGAACAGGCTGCTCAGGGAGAAGAAGGAGTCACCAATCCTGGAAATGTTTAAAAGATGAGTAGATTTCATGCTTAGAGACATGTTGTAGCGGCAGACTTAGTAGAGCTGGATCAATGGTTGGACTCAATGATCTTAAAGGTCTTTTCCAACCGAAACCATTCTATGATTCTATATCAATGTGTGGATATATTACAGCGAATTTCAAATAGTAGTCTTCATGTACTAGAAATAGTCTAGAAGAGCAGGAGAGAGAAGGGCAAAGTCAAAGCTACATTGCCAAATACTACTGAGCTAAGAGCTGCAAATTCTAGGAAATAAAGTCAGCTTTTTGTTGCAGCTGAAAGGAATGACTACTGCAAAGATGCTCTATTATACAGTTAAGGTCTTTGAAGGTAATTTTACCTCAAATAAAAAATAATTTTAAAAATTGACTATAGAAAAGTAAGTATGGAAATCAGTATACACCCACTGTTGCACAAGTCAATTAGGCTGAAGACTAAAAACAATGTTTTTTCATCACCCCTATAAAGCTGAATCATCCTACATGTTACTTGCATTAAAGATAGCTGATAAGTCATTTTCAGGCAGCACTGAAAAATTACAACCAGCTCTGTTTCATGTACATCATCCTGAAAGACAAGGATATTTAGTTTACAAACTCTTCAGTGCTCAAAGTTTGTACCTAGCTAAGAGCTAAACATCTATAGTTTAAGCTTATGTGCATCATCTATGTACCTCTGGCAGTCAACAGGGAGGAAGAACCCCTCTTGCCTCCCTCCCTGCATATGAATCACCTTGTCCTAAGACGAGTGGAATGAATCACCGCCTCGTGATACCTGTAGTGAGTCTCCGCTAGCTAGATCTGCATTTGTGCAATACCCAGTACAGATTTTAACTCATAACCAACAGTATTGCAGGTACCCTTCCCTTTGAGACCAGGGTTGAAAGCTTTGGTTTCCCCAGCCTGTGTTGCCTGAGGGCATGAAGACATGCTTCAGCTAGGTGGAGCAAAGGTCAGTGCCCCTGTTTCTCTCCTCTTCTACAGCTACTTCCATCCAGTTTGGGTAACTAGCAGCTCAGCTGTCTAATCCTAAAAAGATTCATTTGCAGTCCTTGAGCCAGCCACCAATGGTTCACTCTGCTCGCCAGTGGGACTTCTAACTACATCCCTTCCACAGACGTGTTCTTTCTCTCCACCTCAACACTTGTCCCGTAAATGCCATGCTCATGCCCTATGCCATAGCATTAACATCTCACATGCTTGCAGCTCAGTGCTGCAGCTTTTCCCTGCCTGTGGACTCTGCCACATGGATCCAGGAAAGGCACCATGACGGCGAGCACAGCTCCAAGCTGGGCCTCCAACTAGGCCTGTCCTCTAAGAGGGGACCACCTGCAGAGCAGCTGCCTCCTACTTCCCTGACAAGTGTCTGTGTGCTCTGGAGGAGTGATTGATGGAGGCTTCAGAGTTCAGGTAGTTGAAGAGCCTGTATTATTACTGTGGGAAATAATAATAAGTAGAAGCAATAAAAACAGGCAAAATTACTAAGCAAATTCTCCCAATGACCATCTATGGTAAGGAAAATTATAAAGCAACAATCCGCAACCATTATTAGCCTATTATTTATCAGAGCCTACCAATTTTCAGTGTTTTGTACAACTGGTGGTAAATACCCTGTTGTGACAGTGACTTGATGTCATCAGGAAAGTGGATTTATTATCTGCGATAAATTAGCTTTATCTTCCAAAAACAAATGTAGTAAAAATGTGAATGATGGATACTCACTGGAAGGTTTGCTTTTACAATGAATTCCCTGCAAACAGAAACAAAAATATTATAAAAGATGAAGGAAACAATAAAATAAATATTACTTAATCATTGAACACAAATAGAAAAGCCTTAAACAAGTAAACATATTCACAATCCACCACAGAAATCACCTTCAAGATAAAAAAATATTTCCAAATACTGTGAAAATGCGTATCAGTGCATATGACAGCCTGATATGTATGGGGACACAAGATAAGCATTATCCTTATTTTCATATATTTCTACTGAGGTGTAATTGTTATAACAAGTATCCAGTATAAAACTTCCATCAAATACTCCCATCATTTTACAAGCTACTGCCACTCACACCAGCCAATAGCTTATTTATAGTTTGTTACAATGGATGGCTTCACACCAGGGCAGACAAACCAAGCGATTTTTTAATGGAAGATATCTAGAACACTTCTGAATATTATATGATTTTAGAAGATCCCACTAAGCCAATGGAAGGCAGTATTACAGTAGTTGCAAATGACATTTAGAAACAAGACTTGTCTTTCTCTTTGTGAGAACTATCTGCCTCAGAATCCTGAAAATGAAATTACTCAGGCACAGTACTTACCGTGTTGAAGTGGGAAAGTGTTTCTGTAAGAGGAGAAGTGAACCTGTCACTGAGATTTCAATAAGTTTCCAGCTATCTTTCAGACAGACTACATCCATTTTCCCAGTAAAATAAACACTTAACCACACACTAACATTCTGAAGAGTATGAAAATAACAAATCTTATTCTGAATACTATGCATGACATTCTAAAGAAAGCCTATTACTTAGCCAGGAAATACTGTTTTCTGCTGTTCTAGCATTCAAGTTTCTGACATAGCAATTACACCAGTATTTCTTTTATACAGCATATATGTTCCTCTCTGTTTTTCTTTAAAATCAGTGTCTCATTCACAGAGACATTTTTGTCACACCCACAAAAGGAGCAGGCACCACCTTGTCCCTTCTGGTCTCCAACAGACTGGCAGCTCTCAGTCCTTTTAAAACATTTTAAGATCTTGTCAATAAGCCAACAATCTGTTGGCAATTCTAAACTCTAATCAAGATTTAGAGCTAGCAGAAGTCCCTCAGTGGACACTGGAAAGTTTTCAAGTTGTAGATGAACACAAGCTGCAGCCTGGGTGAGCATTAGCAGACCATAAAATAACTATTGCTTGGTCTTCCATGAGGATTTTGTCCACAGGTAAATCCATCCTCCTCATAAACACAGCTGTAGAGCCAAATCATGCTATTGCTGCAGGTCAGAAATGACATCATGTCAGCTACCCCACAGCAGCTGCCTACAGTACCTGACACGTGTGTTTCTGTCTTTTGTCACTGTTTTTAAGTATTTAGCTAGATAAGCTTGTTATTAAAGAAGGCCTTGTCGTGGTTTAGGCCCAGTGCATAACTGAGCACCACGATTCCCCAAAAAAGGGCTAGTCAAAATAAGAACTGGGAGGGCTTCTCACCACTTAAACAGGTCACAGGCAAAAGACAGACTCATCATAAGGAATAAAAAAATAAATAAATAATTTTGTTACCAACATCAGAGTAAAACAATGGGATATACAACCAGATCTTAAAATCAAAACACCTTCCCCCCACTCCTCCCTTCTTCCCGGGCTCAGCTTTTGTTCCCGGTTCGTTCACCTTCCCCCTCCCCCTTTGCCTTGAGGTGCAGGGGGATGAGAATGGGGGTTTGCAGTTGGTCTTCCCACCACATCACGTGCTTCTCAAGAGCAGGGAAAAAAAAACAACTCAGCCCAATGTCTCTCTCTCTGCTTCCACGTGGCCCCCTTTCCACAGGGGAAAAAAGTCCTCAAAAGTCCAATATGGGTCTGCCCACAGCTGCAGTTTCCCTCACACACAAAACTGCTTCAGCCCAAGTCCACCAAACTCCAATCTAGGTCTGCCCATGGTCACAGTTCCCTCGCACACAACCAGTCGACCCGACTCTCGCCACGGGTTGCAAAGGGGAAACCTGAGTTCTGCGTCCTCCTCCTCTTTTCTTTCCTTCAAACTGACCTTGGTGTTCTTCAAAGTTGTTCTCCTTGGGCCCCACTCCTTTCTCTGCTGCAGGTCTCTTCTGATGGTTCTGGAGATCCCAGCTCTCTCTCTTTTTTGGGGGGAGGATGAAGCTGCAGTGGGGCTTAAGCTTAAGTTGTGGTCGGGGACAGCCAAGCCCAGCCAGGCAAGGCTGGGGCTGCGTCACTCGCACCCGGGGCCGCGCTGGTCAGGGCCAGTGCCAGAGAGAGAGAGAGGCATGCCCTGCACCCTCCTTAAATACATGAATTAGGAGGGGCACTGATTGGCTTGGCCCTGGTCAGAGGTGGGTCTGACAAAAGAAAACGGGGAGCTTTTCAGGTAGCTTCTTAAAGGGCCATCTCCACATCCCTTCCCCCGTTACCAAAGACACAACCAAAAACCCCGCACAGAAAACCCAATACAGTCTTTAGAAAAACAGTGACCAGTATCTAAACTGTATTAGTTCTCATTTCTTTGTCTTTTTGGCACCTTTTTTTCTAATAAGCACTTCTGGAGGTAAGTTGTCATCTTTTACAACTGTCACTGCGACTCATGCAAGTTCAGATGCAGAAAAGGTGGTATTTTAAACCACTTTGTAAAATAAGGCAGAGATGACCATAGACTTTCATAGATTGAAGATTATAAAATTTACTTGTGGCATTGTTAAAGATACTACCTTGGCTGCTTCACAATACTACATCAACACTCAAATAAGTAGGGCCTGTTGTGATAAGACAAGGGGTAATGGTTTTAAACTAAAAGAAAGTAGATTTAGATTGGACAGACAGGTCTGTAGATGGGAACACATTTTTTATGATAAGAGTGATGAAACACTGGAACAGGTTACCCAGAGAGGTGGTAAATGCCCCATCCATGGAAATATTCAAGGCCAGGTTAGACAGAGCTTTGAACCACCCAATCTGGTTGAAGATGTCCCTGTTCATTGCATGAGGGTTGGACGAGATGACCTTTAAAGGTGCCTTCCAACCCAAAACGTTTCATGATTCTATAAAGGAAATCAAACTTCTTTACATAACTGTTCTAAAACTGGAGTACATAAATTTCAATGGTTTCATAAATTCCTCAAATCCCCCTGAAGGATTGAAAACTGTAACTGATTCGAACTCACTTCTGCTGTAACATGTTCACAGAAATATTTGTCATTTATTATTTCTGCCTCCCCCAAAAAAGCTTCATTAGTAGTTAGCTGACTCTCCCAATACACACTCAATAGAAGGAAGACTACAGCTTTCCGAATAATTCAGTGCAACACTAAACCAATAAAAGTAGAACATGCCAGCTCACATAAAACTCCACTGGAATTTTAAAGCCCACTGTTTCAAAACCCTAATTTTGAATTATTTCTAATCAAACCCTGCAGGAGTATGAAGAAGGACAATTTCAATTCAGTCTCTTTGAGGTTCTCCATGGCCTGAGGGAGTGGAATAGATAAATATACAAAATGACTACAAAAAATTGAGTGGGCTAGTTAGGGAGATAGGTTTCTGGGTGAGAAAACCTAACTGTTGGATTAACTAATTGCTGAGCCACTGCTTATTGGAAAAAACTAATCTCTTATGAGGTTGATAATTTAATAAATTACTTCTGTATTTTTAACTTCCCATTTTTCAGCCAGACTATTGAAAATATTTTCATTAGGTGGCTTGAGAGAGTTCCCAATTGTCAGTCAAAATCTCTTAGAAAATCATCTTTAAACTAGCTTCTCTAACTGTTCTTTCTGGTTACAGATGGTGCAAAAATACATTAGAAAAAAATTAAGATACTATTGAAGTAAACAACAAACATCTCACAAAACTCAGAGGATTCAGCCTTGAACTTGAAGAAGGCCAGAAGTGCTTTGTAACCCTTGTTACAACATCTGAAAAAATGCAACTCATACATAAATAAATTTTCTTAAGTTACAAACATGAAAAAATGCCCATCCACTTCTGTGGGGCTGTGGGACAATGCAGAAATCCTCCTATACCTTATAGTCTATCCTAATTAAATCTTGTTTTTCACTATTGCTCAGATGAACCCTACCATCTGAGTACTTTCCAGTACCATCTTGCATTTATTTTCTCATCTTCTCCATGAGAAAAAAAAGAAGCATGTGGTACCCGTCAGTGATTTTTGTTCTGGTAGAAAGAGATGTTTTGTCGTTCAGGGGCACTTGGTTTCGTTCTGGATGAAGAGTTGTTGGGAAGGTTTACATAAATATTCAAACATTTGCACAAACACTTGCCAGTTACAGCGAACATTTCATCACAGCTTAATTCCCTTTTTTTCATAAGTGATTCTTTTTATTGTACAATACCAAGGGAGGACTGAGGGTAGTATTTTATTTTATTTTATAAGCATTTTGCAAAATAGTCAAAAGAGACCATTTGTTTCAAAGAAGAACTCAAATAAATTAATCAAGTTCCTCTCCCACTTGCTGTTATCTTTTGTTTTCAGGAATTTTCAGTGATGAATGCAATAAAAAAACATAACACACTAAAACCAGAATGGAAATTTTCTTCCCCTTTTACAAATGCTGAGGGTGCCTTTTACTGCAAAAATAAGATCCTGAACATGATAGTACATTTTACTCCTATACATAGAGCATCTTTGATTCATATCTGCTTTGGCAAAGAGCCTAAGCAAAATAGACTTACACAATGCACAAATAGTTAGGGATTTTCCTATTTCTCTAGGGTTTTCCCCACTTGTGGTATTTCACAACTGTAGCCAGAGGTTATCTGAACAGACACCACCAACATGAAGCATTCTGAATAGAAGGTGTGGTGCCAACTTTTTAGCTAACAGAGCAACTTCTCCTCAGTCTAAGCCAATTGTAATATCACATTGTTTTGCTTAACAACTGTAGAGAAGAAAGTGGTATCAGCAGAGGAAGGCTTGGATTTGGGGACACAGAGAGTATTGTCATGAATTAAAATAGCCAAGGAAAAGAAACGAAGATTAGGCCTGCTTCC